GCTTACATCGTGTCCTCTGCCGAGAATGTCCTCCTGTTTACCCTTCCCCTGGCAGACACTTCCTCCTCCTCCCCCAAGGTGTCCAGTTCCAGTGTTTCCACCCCACCCCCACCTCGTGCCTCCATCTCAGGTAGACTCAGGCAGAATTCTGTTCAGCCCTATGTTATAATGCGCAACCCATTAAAATTAGAATTTTGATGTGTGCTTCTCCTACCAACCTGAGTGTTTGATGGACAGGGATGAGGCTACTTACTTTATCTGTATGGCACTAAGACCTCACATTGTGTGGCATATTTGGGGCACTCAGAAAATGCTGGGGGTGCCAAAAAATGTATACAAGTAGACACTTTGGTCAACGTTGCTCAAACAGTAGTTCGCCGTAATCAGAAGTGTCTGGACGCTGATGGTAACCACTTTGAGCATCGCTTGTAATTGCAGAAGTCAAACATGACTTGTATTTTTTTTTTGTTATTGGTATATATTTAGTATTACAATTAATACAGTTTTCCTTTCTTAAAATGTGTATACATTTTTTTGGCACCCTCTGTATCTGCTGACGTGAATTGAAAGTTGTGTGCTTATGGATGTCCACACCTGTTTTTTAGGCTACCAGAGACAACAGCTACTAAGGCAAGATTTGAGCTGAAAAATTAAACAACTTCTCTGCTGATACAACATCTCTTTATAAGATGTGCAATTAGAAAGGACAATAAGACTAGAATGAACAAACATTTTTAAAGAGAGAAGGGCTGAGAGGGGCTAAAGATTTCTAACTCGTCTATTTTCCTGTTCACAAAGTAACTTTCTAGCCCAGGAGAAAACATTGGTCCAATTTGAGATGTTGCTGGAATTATTCCTTCTCTCTTTTTTCTCTAGTTCTCAGAGAACCAGTGCCTATTTGGAAAAGTAATATAGAGGCAAAAGTGAAGAGAGCTATACAGTGATACATATCAACAAGCCTATTGAGTGATGATAGCTATGCCAAGAGAAAAGCATTACATAATGACATCAAAATAGGACACTTGAGGGATGTGTTAGAGCTTAAACATCTGTCACCTGGTATTTTGGCATTCTTGTATAAGAAGAAATAGCCCGTGGAAACCAAAGAGTACACATTATTTGCAACAAGATTCTGAGGTCAAGAACATTTTTTTTTCCCCATCTCTCTCCCTCTCCTCACCTCTCTCTCTCTCTCTCTCTCTCTCTCTCTCTCTCCCTCCCTCCCTCCCTCTCCCTCTCCCTTAAAGTTAAACTGTTAGTACCATTTTTCACTTTAGAAAAATATGAAACCCTAAAATATGTATAATTCTAAAACATTGTTTACAGGTGGGTTTCAAAGGAAGAGACAGGCATCCCTCATTATACCAGCTTTTCCTAAAGAGTTGTTTACTTGGAGATACCTTTCTATTTTGTGGGTTATCCAGGCCTTTTATTTTTATGTATAGGGTATTAAGCCCATCCTTAGGGAACATGAAGGAGAAGATAATACATGAAATTTAAATTTGTCAATTTTGCTAGTGGGGGAATGTCTGTTAGGAAAAAAGTTTAAAACCCTGGAATTTAGAAGTGGCTGATAGGTTATAAAATGTGTGCTTTTCTTATTTCTTTACCTTCTAGCTCACTGAGATGCTGATCCAAAATTGCTGTACTCTAGGATTGCTTCTTTCCTTTGCCCACTTGGTCAAAGTGGTCAGTGATGCTTCTTCCAGTCAACATGCAGCTATTGTGCCCTGGCTGTGTGCTAGGGGCTGGGGCTGCAATGTTAGAGGCTGCGCTCTGCACCCCAGGAACTCCTAGTTTAGTGTCAGAGCGAGACAAGGATGCTGGCAGTTGCAGTTGCTGTGAGACTGAGGGTAAGGTGTGGTTAGCGCTGGGTGCCTTGGGAGTAGCACGGAGGAACACAATCCACCCAGGGTGGGGAGAGGGCAGCGGGAAAAATGGGATCTGGAATTTGGGTTCAGAAAAAGTGAGGTATGCCTGGGGAGAGCTGTCTCTGATGTCCGGTGATCCAGCTCTGCTATCAAGTACCCATGGTTCGTTTTACAATTTTTTACAATTTATTGAAAAAAGCAAGCAAAAAAGGACAAATTAGTTTAAACTTCAACTTTTGAGAACTAGTACTATATATCTCTTTCAACACCTCCCAGACATCTGCAGCAACAACTGTTTGTAAGAGTCAAGCAAAAAACACACAGTTAGGTTTTCCTGGATCATTTTCAAGTCATCAATGGACAGGTTCACAGAATGTTAGTGCTCAAACCTTCATAGACGAGGAAACTAAAGCTCTGAGTCAATGAAAAAACGATCACTAAAAGATTAGAAATATTTTTTGTTCATATTTCCCTTCTTTACTTGGTTGCCCATATGTAGGTGGGAATACGAAACTTTACAGAACCCGTTCCCTTTCCTTGAGGGATTAAGGCCAATGGGGCTGAAAAGACTGTAAAGACTGAGGAAGTAGCTGGCAGGGAGGGAAGATTGGTTACACATGGGGGCAAAGAGGATACAGAAACCACTGCTGGGGAAGGGAGCTACCAACATGGAAAGGGTAAAAACTAGACTGCTCCTCTGGTATAAGGCTGGAACTGGAGCTTCAATGTGCTTTCATGGTATTTAACACAGATATATAGAGCAATAGATATGATATGGCTGTGTGTGTGTGTGTGTGTGTGTGTGTGCATGTGTGTGTGTGTTGTGTGTCTATTTCCTAGTTCTTCTGGTTGTGAGGGCCTAGAAGCCATGGCATATTCTAGTTCAGTGAGCACACCCAATGCCCAGATCTCGGTTTCCATACACTATTTTCCATAACCCAAAAACCAAATCCTTAAAGATGTGGCTAATTCCAGGGCTGGGTAGAGAAAATACAAGATGCACATGGAATATTTTCTTGTGCCAGAAAGTAAGAAAGCACTCAGAAAATGATGAGGACTTGTCAAAATAACAGCTTGAAGGGGCTCCCACTGGCCAAATGTTGAGATCCCTTGGGCATGAAAATAATGATATTAATGGATTATAACCCACTGATTAAAACAGGAATCCATAAGTGCATATTGATATAAATAAATGCAAAAATAAATAGGGATACACCTGAAACTAATAAAAAAAGGGGGGAGGGGAATAGAGGAGAACGAAAAGCTCTTCCTTCTAGTAGAAAGTATATTTAAGAGCAATATATTTACATGGTCTCCAAGTATCTTCCCATAAGATATTTATTAATTGCAAAGGGAAAAAGTATAACTTTACAGTAGACAAGTCTGGCAGATACCACCTAAAACAAGTAGGGTTGGTATGGACCAACTCCATTTATGTCTCCTGATAAGATTAACTAAGGAGAATAGAGCGTTGCTTCTGTAGCATTCCTGCCCTCAAAATGCACAAACTCAGTCTTATTATGAGGAAACATCACACAAACCTAAATTGAAGAACATTTACAAAATGTACTCTTCAAAAATGTCGAGTCACAAAAGACAAGGCAAGACTGCAGAACTGTTCAAGATGACAGGACAGCCATGACAACTAAATGTAACATATAATCCTGGACCCAAGGAAAAATAATTTCTTTCCCTATAAAGGGTATTAATATTGAGACATTTGGTGAAAAGTCGAATGGGAACTATGCATTAGAAAGCAATATTGTATCAATGTTAATTTACTGAATTTTATTGTTATGCTGTGGTTACGCAAAAGACTGCATTTATCTTTTAGAATAATAACACTTACATATATAAATTGACTTAGAAAAATACATACACACATATATAAACACAAGGAGGCAGGGGGAGTGAGAGAGTGAGAGAAGGGGGAGGGGAGAGAAGGAGAAAAGGCAGGAAGCAAAAGTGGTAAAATGTTAAAAATTGGAGAACCTGAGTGAAAAGTATATGGGAATTCTTTGTTATTTTTATATCTTCATTGTAAATTTGAAATTATTAATAGTTCAATGGTAGTGGTGAAAAATAAAGATCTAGTATGACTCAGGTCCAGCTCTGAATTCCCAGGCTGATACTTATCATCCATTTGGCTCCGGGGAAGTTATTTAATTATTCTGAGGTTTGGTTTTCTTATTTGATCACCAATATAGGACAAATTTAAAGGGATGCTGTAAAGATTAAATAAGATAACGCGCAGATTGAGCACCTGGTTGGTGGTGCGTTTGTCTGATAGAGGACATGATACCAATGGGTGACGCAATACATACTTGGTGAAGAAATGAACAAGCTCATTCTTTCCGCCTGTCTCGCGCCAACTGGAACAAGTGGTACCACTTAGAGAAAACTAGACTCTTCAAATTTTAGCAATCTAACGTATGAGATTTTTCTTAACACCGAAGAATATAAAACAAAAAATTTAAATAACAATAATAAACACCACCCCACATTTGGATGCTGCTCTAAAGTGTCCTCAGTACTCTCTACTCATGTCTCATGTGACACTGAATGGAACAGGCAGGCATTCAAGTTAAAGTTCAACACAGCGTTAATAATAGCGACTCTCTCCAGTGCCTTGGGTTATGACTGTCAAAGAAGAGGTCATGCCCTTGTTACTTAAATCTCAAACAAGGCTTGCATAGGTTCATGGTTGCAGGGTACAAAATGGGGTTCAACGTAATGTCCATCTGGGCATCTGTTCCTTCGATGCTGGCACTGCTGTTTGTGGTTCTCAGTGCATCTGGGACAGAGATGGAGCAGAGAAGGGGACCCAGGTTGTGCCCGAGAGGTTCCTTCTCTCCGCCAAGAAGTGCACGTGAATCTGAAATTACCCAAGAGGGTGTTTCAGAGCTGCCTGCCAAAGAGTGGTGTCTTCTAATCTGGAGAGCAGCTGCTGGGCACAGGCAGGCAAACACACACACACACACACACACACACACACACACACACACGGGCATAACCACAAAGCCTATACCTGCCTCTACGTGTCTGCTCTGGGCAGATGGCTCCCGGCTTTTGGGTCGCCTCGTCCTGCAGCCAGTCCCGTTAGGCCCTGTCTTCCGTGGAGACTGGCAAGCTCGGGCTGAGGGATCTGAAAGGTTGCCTGTCTTCAGAGTATGAAGGACGCTGCCCGGAGAGTGAAGAGGGTTATATTTAGTGTTTGGGCCCAGTCAGTGCTGGGCTCCCCACTGCCTCTCCTTTGCAGAACTGTCCGTGGCCCCGGGTTGCAAACTCTCTGTGGCTTTGAAACTCACAGAACAAAAACTGAGCACGCGTCCAAAAGGAAAAGAAGAAAACATTGGTGTTGGTCCCTGGATTCCACTATTGGATTTTGGTGGGGATGAGAGAGTTCTCCTGGGCGTGATCAAGCAAAGGTGCCTGCACAGCCAGGTAAGTGTCCCAGCTGCTGCTGAGGAGAGGCTTTGGGGACGGTACTGTGTTATCCAACATCTGGGGATTGCCAACACTGCTCTCCAGGAGCAGGATCTCCTGGATATTATGCAAGGGGATGCAGTAATCTCAGGTATGATTAAGAGCTTATGACGATGAAGACTTTTCGGCTAATATGAGTAAGAGCTGCTTGCAAAATTGAGGAACTGTCCTGACAGTAGGTAAGTTGTGCTGCATTGGTAAGCATGAAAGTAAACCAAAATGACAGTGTAAATTGCTATCCTCTTATGAGTAAGGCAAATGGTAAAAAATTTAAAACATGGTTTGTGCAAAATGACTGTCTTTGTTAATAGCTTAATTTTGTAAGCTGATGTGAATGATCAATATGTAATTTCAAAACCATCATGATGTGATGAAAATGGAGAATGATACTGGATAGGCTAGATTGGAGAGAAGGAAATCTCTTTTCACGGAAAGACAGAAGAAGCTAGCATCTTAAAATGGGAAGTTGATTGCATTCTTTTTTTCTTTACTTTTGTTCATATTCTTTCGATGCTAAGATCTGATGAATCGGAGCCAGAGAGCGGAAGCAGGTTTGTGAGGCAGGGTTTTTGGAAGGTCTTGGGGATCACCTGTCGCCTCAAAGAACATGACTGGATATCCACTGCATATCACATCTCAACGTCAATGTGCAATGATGCTGGACTGCTGCCAAATGATACCAGCGCAAGTTCTGCTCACTGTACTTGCTCAGCGGGAGTATTAGTCCATGTGTAGGGTGACTGCATAGTGTTGAATATAGCAACTCCATTCAACAGAGAATATGAATATTCCAGCTAAAATGCTAGACATATTCACTCATTCCTATTTCCTTCATAATGGCAGATGATCACACATCTTTCTTTTCAATATCTGTGCAAGTCTCAGGAAGGGTTACAAGAGGCACAATACGTACATTGCTTCACTACACTTACCATGTTCATATGTGTATTCAGTTTGTGTAAAGGAGGGCATGGGGTATATCATACTACTGGAGAGAACTCTTTCAAATTATGGCAATGTTCCTCTAGCTGCAAGTAAAAATGCTTTTTTGATGATGACACTTTCCAATATATAGGCATATATCATTTTATGGTGTTTTGCTTTATTGCACTTCACAGATGCTGTGTTTCTTTAAAAATTGAAGGCAAGACCCTCCACCAGCAAAGAGATTACAATTCGCTTTAGTGTGATGCTTACTTTATTGCAGTGTCTGGAACTGAACCCACAATATCTCTGGGGTACGCCTGTATCAATCTTCTACCCCTCAAAAATAAACATTCCAAGTAAATATATCTCTGCAGTTATCAATTGACACTGTTATGAAATTCCCACTGTATTAATGAAAAATCAGCATATATGCTTTAAGAACTGTTTGCTATTGAAAATTTCTAAAGGCAGCAATAATGTTCATGGGCTATATATCCACTTCTTTAAAACAAATATGTAAGGCAATTGAGACAGGTCTACTCTGATGAGAATTATTCATGCAATTTCCCAAAGCAAAGTGGGTTTGGGTTCTTATGATAACCAATGCAAAAACACTCTGCAAAAATTCTAGGACAAAGGAAAGTATTGATTATAAACAAAGAAGTGCAATTTTCAAAAAGAGTTTAGTTTCCGTTAAAGTTCATGTGTAATTATATTTTTTGCTTAAACTGTTATTGAAGTAAAGAATTTATTAGCCAAGAATTGATTTAGGTAGTGGCATTATCACTAGAGATGGAACTACTTTATTGTGGCTTGAAAATGATGGTGCGTTTGATAGAACACTATTGCAGAATACTGGTGTTGCAACTTGTCAAGAGTTGGGTAGGTCCAAGGATTGGAAAAAACTAAAAGTAAAGGGCCCTGTAGTCTTTTCTTCAGAACAGAGTCCATATTATTCTTTGTCTTAGTGGAAAATTTTCATTACCACTGAAATACATGCCTTGTGTCTCCAACATGTTACATTAAAAAACATTTCAAGAAAAAGTTAATTGCTTTTATTTGCCTTAGGATAGAACTACTGACCACCAGAATTTAAAAACCATTTATGCTGAGCACAAATAAGTTTTTTTTTTGCTTCATTATAATTAGGGGAGATACTTATATGATAAAGGTTTTCATTTGTTTGCTCATTTGTTCATGCATTCAGCAAATACTTTAGCATGCTTCCTATGTGCTGGGTTCTAGGGATACAGTGTGAATGAGGCAAATGTTTTCCACATGCCCTGAGTGTAGGAACCTTCACAGAGGGGCCGATGACTAGTGGTTTGAACCTGTATATTGTTCATGTCGTTTGCCATGGTATTTTCTCCCTCATTTCTGATTAAAATAAAAGTTAAGGACCAGAAACAAAAATATTGTTGCTACTTTATAAAGGTTATTTAGTGTCTGCAAGATACGGAGACAATTCCAGAGATCAAATAATCAAATAATTAGTTTGGAATATACATTCTAGTGCAAATACCTGAGTCTTCTTTGAGAGATGTTGACATTTTTTTGCTGTTTTAAACCACAGATATTAGACAAAAGGCTTGCACACTGATAGGTTGCTCTTTCAGGATTGGGTCAGACAGGAAGTTCCTACGGAAGACATTAGAACAAAATCTGTACTATAGTCCCATAGCTATCTAGGGTTCAAATGTGATGCAAGTTCATGGTGTTTCAGTCTAATCTGTCTGACTGGAGGCTACATCTGAAAAGGGTGGCCGTACTGTATTGGTTGAGGAGACTTTTTATGATGGCATTAATCTTGACAACAATGTCACTTTATACCCATGAAGTGTTTTACATTGTTTATAGAATTCCAGCATCAGTCACTCACTTGCTCTTTTGATGACCCTGTGTGATAGGAAAGGCGGGTGTTATTCCCTGGTCAGCAGGTGGAAAGACTAGATTTTAGACATTTAAGGGGCTAGCACAGCTAATTTTCTCTCTAAGGCACAGTCTCATTAAGTAATTTCTCAAATGAAGGACTAGGAAAAATTCAACATGCGTCCTCACAGCCCCGACCTACTGTGTGAAGGTGGACATAGCCAAGGCAGAGACTATGCCTCTAGAGGAGAGTTTAAGGCCTTCTCCACACCCCATCCTCTTCCTGCCTCCACTTCCCTTCTAGGTACTCACCCCTCAGTTTTCTCTTCTGGCCCTCGAAAAATCAGTTTAGTTGCTAAAAGAGATATAAGCCTTTTCCTTCTTCTTCAGGACAGGACTAGTATGGTATATTAGTATATTCACCTACATGTGAATGCACATGGAATTTTAAACCACTGCTGAGTTCCACCAGTCTGGCAACATAACACATGGTTTCATCAGATCAAACCTATTGCCCATCCAGTTCCGATACTGCTTTTGGTGGAAGCATAAGTGGGCCCTTCAGGAAAACAGTTTCTCATGGGTAAGAGAGAACATCACAGGGAAAAATTATCTACGTGGATAAATGGTCAGCCTGATTAACTGAGAGCAATATGATGATAGGCAGAGCTGAGCAGAACAGTCTTAAGTGAATGAAGAAAGTCTTTTTTAGTGAATTCTGAGAGTACGCTGATCTGTTGGTAACTAGCTACTGAGGGTAACAGTGTGTGGGGTGCCAGACACAGCTAATACTGTTGGTTACTATCTATGACTAATCTAATACACAAGTCTTCATGTCTTCCTTACATTTTTCCTGGAATTTATTCTGTATCTATTTAAAGTCTGCTATACTTGTTTGGAGGATTTTAGCTACTTTTCTCTCATTTTGGTGGCTTGGAATGAATGTCGTAGGTCTTCGTGATGGGTCTAGGGACAACTCCTTGACTAGGAAAGTGGAATTCAGGGGAAGGTAGCAAGGGGAATACAGCAGAGGACGCTTCAATGCTTCTCCTTGGAGCTGCTGCTCCTGGCCCTGCAACAAAGGGATAAGAGGCAGCTGCCTCTGAGCCAGGGCATTAAACTGCCAGGTTGTGACTAGGGACACCAACATCTTGGTTTTCAGCTGCTCTGAACATCTTCACACGAAGCTATTTTAAGGCTCTTTGCATTTGATCAGGGAGCATGTGGGGTTAAGCCTTGTGTTTTCCATTTCAGTTTTAGAACCCAAGCAGGTGCAGCGAGTAGTCCAGAATTTAAAAACTTCCTATTGTATATCACCCCAGCCAATGCAAAAATAACTTTATATTAGGGGGAAAAATATGTGATGGAGATGGAGACTTGTTTCTTAAATACAATTAAAAGTTTTTAGGACTTGAATTAAAAAAAAATCACTGACACTTTCCATCATAATTTCTGTTTGGCAACCTTTAGTTAAAAAAATGAAAGAATAAGTAAAACCATTTGGCCAGAGTTAGGAAAATATGTAACTATTTGTGCTAAGGTCCATGAATGTAACTATATTGTACTTATTATGCTTGGAATATTGATGACAAGGATACCACTGTAGATTAGGGGCATTTTGGATTGTCTGACAATATCAAACAGTGATTTACCTCTTGAACTTTGACAGTTAGAGAAAAATATCCTCTAAGACTCATCCCGCTCCCTGAAGGTACACAGAGTTGAAAGGAAAGGAAAGCCTGTACGAACAAAAAAATCCCTTTAAAAATGTTTTAAGGCATGTACTCGCAAATTCCTAAAATTTATATAGAGCTTCCCTGTCTGTTGAAACCATGTTTCTAAAGGTCCACCACACACTCATGCATCTACACCCAGGGTTGTCCATTCTTAGTTTAAAAGGTATCTCTGCATGGTTTAGGGGTCGACTACAAAGGGATGAGAGGGAATGTTTGGGGTGATGGAACTGCTCTAGGTCCTGAGTGTAATGGTAGTTACATGATTGTATTAGTGGTCAACATTTGCAGAATTGTACACTATAAAAAATGAATTGTATTGTATGTAAATCATAACTTAAGGAAATAAATGCAAAATAGATGTTAAGAATCACCACCGGTGTGGCTCTACAGCGAGAGTCTTCCGCAGCATATTCTGCTTTCATGTTGATGGACTGGAGTTCTAACATAGATTTTCAGTGGGGAAAAATAAAAATAAAGAAACTTTAGGGTACTAAAATAAACAAGGAAAAAAGAATCCTTGAAAATAACTGGTATGGTCCACTCCCCTCATTTTACAGATGAAGAATTGAGGCCTACAGAAGTTTTCCCAAAGTCTCAGAACTAGTTAGTAGCAGAGAAAGATACCTGTTTCTAGAAATAGTTAAAAATGATCAACCTACAGAAATTCAACCCTCTAACTACTCTGGTGCAATGATGACTGTCAAAACTGCATTCTCTAATGAAAACAGTCATGGGGTAAAAACTATGCAAAAAAATTTCAAGTAGCTGCCTTCCAAATGTTGCGTTGAGAAACTGGCCCAAGGCTGCTGGCTTCTGGCAAATATACAAGGGAAAACTAGCTGATTCCAGTAGTCAGTAGACATTATTGCATACACAGTATCTGTCAAAAACAAGTTACCCCTGCCACCACCACTACCACAGCCTGTACGCACTATGGAGGGAGTATTACAAAAGAGGATCTTGGCCATGTCTAGAAGGGGCATATCTTTCTTTATTTGTTTACTTATTTATGTAACAAATAAATGCCAGGCACTTTCCTGGGTGCTACAATCCAATGTGGATCTTGGGATCATAACATAGTAGGCTCTAGATAAGGAGCAATGCTCAAGCACCAGAACAGAGTAAGGGCTGTTTGAATATAGCAATCAAACAAAATCCCAGTTAGAAATAAACTAATAAATCAACGTGTTCATTATAATGCATAATGCCTAAGAGCATGGATTTTCCCAAATGGCATCCTGGGTTCTAATTCCAGTTTTGTGTGATCTTCAGCAAGTTACTTAACCTCTCAAAAGCCTTAAGTTTCCTGAATCATAAAATGGAGATAATAGGGCCAGCCGAGTGGTGCATTGGTTAGGAGTTGGCTTGGGATGCCAGCGCTGTGCAGCAGGACCCCGGTTCGGATCCCACATATGAGGGCCAGTGACGCTGTGCCCTCTACAGCTAAGATGGTGAACAACAGCTTGACTTGGAGCTGGGCTGCCACGAGTTGCCGGCGACGGTGTAGGCTGCAGTGGGGCTGGCCGGCAGCTGGTGTGTGCTTTCATGAACTGCCATGAGCTGCCGTGAGCGGCCGTCCAATGGCCGGCGAGCGACTGCCTCACCCGGGAAGAGTGCAATGATAATACCAACATGGGTCAGTGAAGCGACATCCTCCACAACCAGACTGCAGAACAAAAGGACAGCAACTTGTCTGTTCCCTTTCCCCCAATTCCCCAGCGCTGTTCCCATCTCCCAATTCCCCAATAAAATCTTAAAAAATAAAAAATGGAGATAATAATTGTACTTGCCTTGTTGGGAGCAATAAAGAAGAACTATAAAGTGTTAAGTACAGTTAGGGGCACACAGGTGCTCAATAATCAGGGGCTATTATTATCATTATTATTAATACAGAAAACTCCCACATTGGTGTTATAGATTGGGTCTGATAAACTTCAGTCTTGAAATGTGGTATACTAGGTACTTTTGAGAAGGTGATAAATGATACAAGGCCCAGAATACACAGGCACAAAACTTTGGATCCCTTGGATCAAATTAAGAAGACTTGGGCTAGAAACATCATATAGAAACCAAGGGAAATGGCATATGAATGTCATGTTTTCTTTGGGACTCTAAGAAACACTACATGCCCACACACAGGTATGAATTTAAAATGCCAAATTTTGTGGTTTTGGGCATTAAAAAAACCCCCAGAAACTTGATTATTAAAAGCAAACCATAAATTTCCTTGATCTATGTTAAAGTAGAAATATCCTTTTTCCTGCCTGAGATCCTCTAGCTATAGGAAAGTGCCTTTCTTTCTTTCTTTCTTTTCTTTCTTTCTTTCTTTCTTTCTTTCTTTCTTTCTTTTCTTTCTTTCTTTCTTTCTTTCTCTCTCTCTCTCTCTCTCTCTCTCTCTTTCTCTCTCCCCCCCCCTCTCTTTCTTTCCCTTCCTTCCTTCCTCCCTCCCTTTCCCTTTCCCTCCATTTCATTTCATTTTTTTGCAATTATCTTGCTCTCTCCTGCCATAAAATTTAAATCATGTAATGGAAGTTCTACCTTCAAAATGTGATAATTTATGGGCACACAGCCCAGAGGATTCTGAGGAGACAATGAAATTCTTGAATGTGTGCAAATCATTTCAGAATGGGAAACAACTTTTCCTGTGTAGCAGTAATTATTTATATACTACTACCTTGAAAGAATGTTAATAGTACAGTATTAAGTTACTCCTTTTAAAACAAGGCACTTCTACAAGGTTTTATCTGTTCTTTCCTCATTTGGAAAGACAGCATGGTACACATAAAATAGCAAGTTTTACTATCGTAGCATTAAGTGGTTGGGTCAGGTTTCAGAAAGACTGAAGTGATACTTTAAATACCTACAAAATGTGTGGAAGGAAGGCTCCAGTTCAAACCATGACACAGTTGTGGATCCACTGCTCTTACAGTAAACAAAGTGACCAGAAAATTCCATGACCAACAAAGTGCCGAAAGAGGCCATATGCCTACTGAAGAGACAAAAACTTCAGTATACCTCAAATTTATATACACTTAGTAATTTTCTCAGATGGTATCGTGAAACTGCAATCATGACCTACATAATCTAATTATTTCGGCACATGATTCCATTATTATGTTCCCATCCACATCTGGATAGTTCATTTGTACAAGGCAATTTCAGTAATTTCAGTTGAAAAGAGGACTTGAAAGGTCCAGCTAGGTCTAGTGGAACTAATCTGTACATAAACAAGGATTTAAAAAAAAATTTTTTAACAGTATGGAAGAACATAAAGGTTTGCACCTGTACTTATAGCACTAAAACAGTAGTTCTGTTTGAACTGGTAGCTACAAATTTACATCTCTTGGCTCTGTCACAAAATCCACAAGTATTTAATTTAATGTTTTCAAAATTAGATCAGATATGTTAGTGGCAAAATGCCAGTCGCGATTCTAATGGGGCTTTTGCATCTCTACCCTTTGCCTTACTGACCAGAAAACATTTTTCTTAGTTTCCTTTAGCACATATTGGCTATCTTATTAATTTTCAGTACAGTCATACCTTGTATCTGGGGGTGTTGGTTCCAGGACCCATTGAGGACACCAAAATCTGTGGATGTTGAAGCCCC